TGAAACTGAGGAGGACCTGAAGTGCTTGCTGCAGTGCAATCTTCAATATGGATTGATGTTCAACATCAAGAAAACAAAGAATCTCACCACTGGGACAACTGGCAGCATCGTGATAGATGGTGAAGAGATATGAGATTGATAACAACTTTAGTTTGCTTGGCTCCACAATCAACACTCTTGGTATCAGCATCCAGGAAATCAAGAGATGAATTGCATGGGGAAAGTCAGCTGTCAGGGACCTCTCCAGAGTACTGAAGAGCAACAATGTTAGTTGGAGACTAAGGTGCAGACCATAGTCTTTGCAATTGCTTGCTATGCATCAGAGGGCTTGACAATGACTAGGGATGATAGAGGGAGAATTGATGCCTTTGATCTGTGGTGCTGGAGAAGAGTTTTGAATATACCATAGACTGCTAGGAGAACAAACAGGTTCATCTTAGAGAGAGTGAAGCGAGCCTGCTCCTTGAAGGAAAAGATTCTGAGGCTTTGTCTGATATACTTTAGGCATGTTGCAAGGAGGGACCAGTACTTAGAGAGGAACATCATGCTTGGAAGGGTAGAGGAACAGAAAAGGAGAGGGAGACCATTGACGAGACGAATTGATTCATTGACTGGGATAATGAGGGTCAGCATGTCGGAGACAGTAAAATTGGCACAGCTTAGAGCAAGTTTCAGGGCTGTTGTACATAGGATTGCTCTGAGTTGCAAGCGACTTGACAGCACATAACAACAATAACTGGTGTTAGAAAAAGAAGGGGGAAATCCAGGTCAATAAAAACAAATTCTGCTACATAAAATGAAAGAAGAAATTATCGTCTTAATTAGCCTACATTTTTGTCCTAAATGCAGAATTAATTATATTGAATTATTTTTTATGCGCTTGTAAATTGAGATATACTGAGTATAATACACACTGAGAGATGTTGCTAGGAGAAGCTATTCCTTGGAAAAGGACATCATGCTTGAAAAGGTGGAGGGTCAGCTAAGGAGAGGAGGACCCTCAATGAGATGGACTGATACAATGGATGCTCAGATAGGATCAAGTACATCAGAGATGATAAGGATGGTGCGTGGAAGGAGAGGGTTCAGATCTGTTGTTCATTGGGTTGCTGTGAGTCATAGTCACCTCGAAGGAACTTACCACCACCACCACCATCATACTGAGACAATCAATCAGTCGTCTATCTAGTAATGTGGTGAATTAACAGTATGACATTCTGTTTAAAAAAACTCCAACAGATTTTTCTGACGGTAATTTATTTATAATTTTTAGTATAAATCTAACTTGACAATTTTGTGCTTAATTTAAAAATATAAATGGATTAAATAATTTTTTATATTTTAGAAGGTTTTCATATGCTTACACATATGTTTCTATGATATTTTTTCTTTTAAATAAAGTCTTTATTTTACACTGGTTTACTTACATTGTTTTTCACACCTGCTTTTATGATTTTGAGACCAGCATCATAGACTGAGTTAAGTGTCTTTTTTCTTTTTTATTCTCTGGCACAGTGTATACAGGCTGATGTTGGTTACCATTGAGTTAGAACATTGCTGACCCTCCAGCAGGCTTTCAGAGGCAGTAAATCATATGGAGGAGATTGTCCATATTTCTCCTGGGGAGCAATTGGTGGATTCAAACTTTATACCTTTGGGCTGGCAAGGCAACTCCTTACCATTAATCTGCCAGTGTTCCCTTTGCATTAGGTCAGGTCTATTAATTTCTTTAAAATTTAGCTATAAAGTCTTTTGGCTCTGCTATTTTGTGGCAGGTATGGGAGTTGTAGGGAAGATAATTGACTATATAATTTCTTTTACAGGAACTGATTGATTAGCATTTTCTCTTTCTTATTGATTCAATGACTAATACCTTCAGTATTCTAGACAATTTTGATTTTATTCAAATAGCCAATTGTATTGTCATAAAGTTGTTCATCATATTATAGTAGTTTAAACCAGCTGTTTAACACATTGCCTCAAATGACAGCAAATGTGTTTCTAAGTACAGTCGTCAATTTAAACAGTTTGTGGCAACGTGTTAATTAGCTCATTGCTGTTGAGTCAGAAATATTCCCAGCTAAACCCTCCAGTGGGTTCTGAGGTTGTCAGGCAGAGACAGCCCATCTTTTCCCTTGGAGCTGTTGGTGGATTTGAACTGTCGGAGAGGGGCAGCCTTATGGGCTAGCAACACAATTCTCTGCAGACTGTACCACCACAGCTCCCTGTCTACTTAAATGTTGTTGTTGTTAAGTGCCATTGAGTCGAAGGCGACTCATTGTGACCCTATGAACTAAAGTCCTCGACACTTGAGTGTGTGACTTTCATCCTTTCTTCAGGTTCCTAGGGTTTCCGGAGGCAAGCCATTTCGGAAGTGGATGCCACTCCTGCTTCCAAGCTTGTTTTAATCAGGGAACGCCACCAAACACTGCCCACCATGGGTAACCATTAACGCATTTGACACATAAGTGTTCAGCTTCACAGCGACCACAAGTTACTTCTGTATGGCAAGTGGACAT